TTCATCGACTTAATACGCGTTAGTCAATAACGGAATTAAATAAGTCAAATACGAGTACAAATTTTGAATACGTATATTTCATACAATCGTTGATCCGGACAAAATATCGGAGAAGCAAAGGGGGAGAGAGAGAAGCGAAACGATGCGCGTTGAAGAAGGCCTGTAAGCCAACTCCGTTTAGTCAAGCGTTAATCAATATTTATAGTCACACAAAATTAAGCTGCATACATGTGATGAATGAGATAAGAAGGACACACACATATGTGCTCACATTAAAACAGCCAATATTGATAAGCAAATAATTAACAAGGTTAAAAGTGTGACTCAAGTAGAATGAATAGATTGGCCTGTCCGAAAGCTAGAATAAGTTATGTGGGTTTAACATAATAATCGACACTACAGACTCAACTGGACGGACTAGACGAACAAAGGACCAATTAGGACGCTAAGCTGCTTATACCGCTCGGACGTCATTGGCTTAGCACAGTACTAAGATTGGATTAGTCGTATTTCGATTAGCAAATAAATCAAGTGATAATAAACCGGCTTTAAAATCACAACATAATGAATATTTTATTAGTTAGCGTAAACATGTACTGCACGGATTGATCAATCATTATTATTTGAAGATTTTATGATCATTAAATAAGTTAAATAATAAACATAATTCCTAGGATGTTCGACCTAATTCCATTCATGGTATTTCTATATAATCTTAGAATCAAATAGATCCAGGAAAACTATAGAACTGAGTCATTCGTTTTCTTAATGACTATTTTCGATGTAGATTTCTCAAAGTTCCAGTAAAAGCCATGACCTATGAAGTTATTTATTTTTTTAGAGTAGGATAGCCAGCAACCGAATAAATAGAATAATAGTCCTTTGATAACAACAAGTGATCGGATTTGTTAAATGCAAAACATTTGATGTCAAATCAGTAATCAGTCCGTTTTGTGTTAACAATGAGGCCCAGGGATTTTCTGTCTGATAATATGTTTTACTATGATCGTTCACAGTTGAAGTATACGGAATTTAGATGAGAAGGTTTCCCAGTGATACTTTGTTTTCAATGGTTTTTCACATTCTATCAATCCATAATGAAATTATTTTACTTAGATTAATGATGATAATTTTTAGAAGATAGTTCAGGTAATTTCGATATACTGGATAAAGTGTCAAAAATGTCTGTAACTGGCGATTATTGATTTGATTAACAACATCTTGAAATTCACTAACTTTTACCTTAGGCTACATTTTTCATTATTACAGCATTTTTATTCTCTATTCATTTTCTTGTTTATTTCTCAGTTTCTTTCTTAACTTCAGTGGAAAAAGAAATGAATTACAATCATCCCGTCTAGAACTATATTCTAAGATTTCAAAGTACGATATCCAGTCAAGTAAACAAGATAGTTACGTATATACATAGTCACTTCTGACGTAATACATAATAATAATTAATCAATCAAAAAATGTGATCTAAAAATAGATATAGTAAAATAAAGTCAAAATACTGAGTGGATACATAAAGAATTATTTATTTAGACAAATTGTGAACAAACTGAATACAGAACTGAGATGAATAAACATGAAAATAATAAAAATGAGCTAAGAATCTCTTTAGATCATTTTATAATTTACTCTTGATATTGATGAGTTCACTGAACGATATGGTTTAATCATCTACCTTTAGTTGTCATTAGGAACAACATCGTGTGTGCTTACTTCATGTATGATGGAGCTGTACAATCGTCAACTAAATAATTATGTTTCAAATCACAATTCTCTATCTTATTTTGTTGATCATTTTCAATAAAATTTCTACTCTTCCTCATACTGGACAAGAAAACTACTTTTCATATCTCTCTTCTACGTGTTATTTTCACTCGTACTGCACTTTTAATTTTTGATTAAATTATATTATTTTGTTACTAATACAGTAACCTTTATTTTCGACTATATTATCGGCAAAGTAACTATAGATACGGTTATACTAATCCAGTAAATGACATCATCAAAATTAAAATTCCCCTTGTTTCACTGTCTTTATTTTGTTCAGCAACGTAATGGTTCTTTTCCGTTGTTTTAAAAACATATGAATTACTTGGAAAATACAGTTTTAATGGAGTTAAGTACCTATGACCTATAATGATGACCCTTTTATGATAATAGAAACCTTTGCTATCGCAGTTGAATTGTTAAAATTACTGAAGTGACTGACATATGATAATTTCCTCATGGAAATAATTTCTAATCACAAGCCAATAAATTTCAGAAAACATAGTAACTTAGTAAATTCGAAGGTAATTAAAACTTCTTTTGTACACAAAATATTCAGTCAACATAATCATGACACATCAGTTAACAAATGATCATCAAATGATAAGGGAATGAATATTAAGTAATAATCAACATGAATTTACTTTTTCCCAACTAAGTACTTAATATTATCTTTCTACTATAGGAAAGAGTTATATCTGGATTTGAAATGCTATCAAACAACAAATTACACAAAATTAGTATAAAAATGAGCTTAATTGTCAATCACTTGGGATTTTCTACAATTACTTTTGCTAACGTACTATTTTCGTTCTTTCTTTTTTGTTGTTGAAAATCTCCAGGTGATAACGAATTTGTGCAAATCACAACAAAATCATGTTTGAAAAAAATGGCTAAACATTTTAGTGATAATGGTCAAATCTGTCGAATTTATACTATTCCTCATTTGTACTCTGATGCAAAACCTCTGAATTCATTTTTCAATTTTTGTAGAGCTGATGAATTACCAAATATTTTAATACAACCACTTACTATTGAACATGAAAGATTGAATGAAACATGGTTACAAACTCCATGTAAATTATGTGAAAAATTCAAATGGTCAGGTGAACGATATACTTGTTTATTTTGTCCAAATATAGTCTTATGCAGAGAATGCTTTTATACAGGTTATCATAAAGAACATCCTCTTTTATGTACTCGTAATAATAAATTATTTTCACAGAAATTATTACAATGTTCACGTTTAGCCGTAGCATCAGTACCATGGAGGAATACATTACCGAAAGTTAACAGAGATCCGAAAACTGATGATAGAATAAGACAATCAATTAGTATAATACAAAATAAAGGGAATAATTATTTCAATCAAAAAGATGAAGTTTCAAATAGTGAAAAACAAAACAAACGAATAACATTGTTTAAGAAATCAGCTTAAATGGATTGTTATTGAAATAAATTTTCTTTATTCTGTTCACAATAATCATAGTTTGGTTGAGTCAAGAATTGTAACATATTGTTCAACTAAAATAAAACATGCTATTAAATAAGATATTTCTCTATTTACTGAGCGAATTTTCATTCTTGTTATTTATGAATAATGACTTTAAGAAATATTAGTTATCTCTGACTGTAAACCTAGGTGACAAGGGATGGAATCCGTCAGCGACCATCAGTTCCCTCAAGATTGCAGTTACACCTTGCTGACAACTGCCAAGTGGCACGAAACCTTGGCCCAGGGTTTCCTGTTCACTACCATCTTATTTCAACATAATGCACGCAATGTCGAGTCACCTAGACTAGTGGCCACATTGCAACATGGTTGATAGTATTCGATCTGCACTAAGAAGGACCTGATATACATGACATCGATCACCATCCAGTGATCAATCAATTGCAAATTACAATTTCATAATGTGTAGGGAGATTTGGTACCTAAGTTTCATGGGAAAATTATAAAATTTAGGGAATTTTTTCTGTTGTAGTGGCTGTGCTTCCTTAATCATTCACCTTTGTAACTGTTATTATATACATTTCAACGGTGTTTGAAATCAGAAGGCAATAAGAAGCGGTAATAACAGTCTATTGGCGGATAGTACGAATCACAAAGCTATAGGGGCATTGATCGAATTTGTAGCAGAGAAGCAAATATTCTTATTTGCTGTCATTTATTTAGTGAATATTCAAATATATATTTAATTATTAACACTAGAGTGAAGCTATTAGACTTCACTCACAAACTTTCTTGAATAGTTTTGAACTTATTAAGTTTTTTTAATGAATGAGTTTCATGGCATCTAGACTTTTTAAAAGATATGTATAAGGAAAATATACTAACATCCATCATCGTTTGGCCCTAAGGTTTTTAGTAATTATGTGACGATTTATTGCATTATTTACATGACTTAAAAAGCGGGCTCAGAAGTTTAAGTAAGTTACCTTTATGAATATACAGAAGCCTAAGTAGTAGTAACTGATTCCAAGGTATTGTTAGATTAAAATTAAAGTCGAAGAAGATTAACGTTAGCGGAGAAAAAACTGTAATTGATGGCAACATTTGTATAATAGGTACGCACCAATGAATACAAATGATATGGTTAACCGATACCTAATTGATTTGAGTTAGATTAACATTCAAAATTGATTTTTTCCAATCTTCTATGGAATTTCATTAAATTTTAAGTACTCATATCAGTAATATCTACTGGTCATAGATAATTAACGATATAATAGTGTATATTTACATTTATTCGCCAAATTAATAATTAATTCATGTCAAGTACAAGTCAGTTTATTGAGCTCAGATCATTATAAGTCACAAAATTCAGCAATTTGGAATGGAGAGTAGATGCATCGCTATAGAACAGAAATGAAAAATCCTATATAAAAGCAGCAAGGAAACTGTCTAACGAAAAGAAGATTTCATTCAGATATGAAGTATTTACTGTTTGTTATTCTTATGACCGGTAGTTCATACTGTTTCTTTTAGTGCTATGTGTACTTTGTGTATTGGTCACCATTTTAAGACTGATTGCAGCTATCATTACCTTACTGTATACATGTTCTGAATCCAAACTATGTATCTGATATTGTTGGGTATTTAATAACCGTTTATTCTTTGTTTTGTTCAAAACTGTTTCTATGGTGTTCCTTGTATTGGATTGTCATACTCTTATTGAAATTTTATAAAATGATTGCTCTGTTTTATGTGGTTGATTTTTAAGCACGTCTTCTGTTTGTTTTAAGGACGTTTGCCATTATTCACTGCTGGATGTTCGTCTTTGGAGAAAATTCAATTGACTTAACCTTCTTCTTCGAATAGGATGCTCTTCTTTAACTGATAAAAATATTTTCTTCATGACCACGACTAGCTCCTGAGAAGCTGGGTTTGGCTAAAAATGAATTTGATCACATGATAGACTTGGAAGTAATTTGACCATGCGTCTTGTACATAGTCCCTAAAAAGGACAACAACGGTTGTCGTCCAGCTGGTGACTATCGGCGATTGAATGAGGAAACTATTCCTTATCGTTACTCCTTTCGCCAAATCCACTATTTGACAGATACACTGAAATGTACAACTGTTTTTTTTCGGAAATCAACGTGGTTAAAGCGTATTACCAAATTCTTATGGCTGATGACGACGTTCCAAAAACGACTATCACCACGCTCTTCGAACTTTGCGAATTTCTGTGCATGTCATTAGGTTTAAGAAGTGCTGCACAAACCTTCCAGAGATTCATCGACGACTAATTTTGAGGTCTCAACTTCATATATGCGTATGTTAATGACTACTTAATTGCAAGTCCGGACAGAGAATCTCATTCCCAGCATCTGGAGTTTGTCTTTGAACAACTTCAAAACATGGAGTTAATGTAAACGTTCCGAAACGCCAAACAGGAACCAATTTTATAGATTTGATCACTCTTGCATAACGAACCCGCTGACCGCTGTGGACGGACGAGCACCCGCCCTTGCTAGCAAGAGAAGGTTTGATGTGACGCACCTGATAGGTTCAGCCACATACGTCTGTAAGATCCATTTTGAATGTTTTGTGTGTTTGTGAAAATCCCTCCATGTATATACTTGTACTTTGTTCCTATTGATTCCCTTAGTTGTACATTGTTGTATTTTGATTACATTTGAGTTGTTAATACTTGTATTTTTTATTATAGTTTTTGTTTTCTTACGCATTCACTAAGTTTGTGTTTCTTCCTGAACTGCATCTGTGTTGTTTTACTTGACACTTGTTCTTGGCGGTAGCCATATTGATTTGTTCCTCCTGTTGTGTGTGATCTATCCAGCCAGGATAGAATAACGTTGATTTGTTGTGATTGGTAAATTTCTTGCATCCTTTATCAACTTTCTTATTTATTGTAATTAGATTTGATCAATTGAACAATTATTGGTTGGATAGCTGAGTGGTTATATTTGTTTAGGTAATAATGTACACTTAAATTTATGATAAATTATAGAACCGCTATCTTACCCAATTCCTTTGTTTTGGTTTCAATCGGGCGAGGGCGCGTATCTAACTCATCCAGACAGCTGTCCAGCAGTCCAAACGTAGTTTGGATCTTACAGTTCTAAACAAATATTTGGTCGAATTCGTTTGGCTTTCGTTTCGTTGATTCCAATCATCGTCTCTGGGAATATCTGGTCGTTCGCTTCCGATGCCAAACAATCGTCGAAGGAAATTAAGTCCAAGGCTCGTGGATGTTAAAAGAGATGAACAAAAGGATGGATCCCCTCAATCAAGGCAAGTGCCTTCTGATGCTTCTATGTGTCATGGTTCATATTCTAATAGGGACGATTGTAATTATAGTGAATCTAGTTGTGATATAATGGCAAATGGCATAGAAAACCTTAATTTAGACTTGAAGCAAGCAAAAGGCGTAAGGCCTACGGCGTTTTTCATAGGTCCAGAGTTACCAAAGGTTGAGTTAAGTTATTTCGACGGTCAACCAAGAGGTTACTGGAAGTTTTTAAGGGAGTTTGAGACCTATGTGGAATCAAGGGTCAAGGATGATGGTCAACGCTTGCTTTATTTGATGCATTATTGTAAGGGTAAAGCGAAAACAGCCATTGAGGGTTGTGTTATGTTGGAAGCCTCTTTTGGTTACAAGAAGGCCAAGGAAATTCTAAAACGGTTGTTCGGACAGGCGCATGTAATCGCTCGGGAGACTTTAGAGGACTTATTCAAAACTACAAATGTTGATTACAGTGATCCTGAGCAACTAACAAATCTAGCTATTAGGATGGAAAATTGTTCTATGGTTTTGAAACAGATGAAGTACACTGCCGACTTAAACTCTTTAATTACCTTAGAGAGAATAGTAGGACTCTTACCTCAAGTTATGCAAGCCCAGTGGGCGGACTGGGTAGATGAATTGACTGAAGATAATAGAGAACCAACCTTTGATGAGCTTACCCAATTTATAGCATCCCGCGCGAGGGTAGCTAATAGTAGGTTTGGACGGTTAGCGAATCGTCCGAGAAAGGGACACAACTTAAAGACAAATTGTCACTTGCAATTGGAGCAGGCGAATAATTCGAAAGAGAAAGCTAAATGCAGTGTGTGTTCCCTGGACCATGCTATTTATAAATGTCCAAATTTTTTAGCGCTTACCGTTCAAGAGAGATGGTCTCACGCGAAGGTTAATGGCATCTGTTTTGTCTGCCTCAGGCAAGGGCATAAAGTTAGTGAATGTAAGCTGGCAAAACGTTGTAACGTTGAGGGTTGTGAAAGGAAACACCATTCTTTGTTACACAGCGAGAGTGAGAAATCTGGTACCTCGAGTTGTTGCGGATATACTAAATCACTAATCAGTCAAGTGTGTTTAGGCATGATTCCCGTACGGTTGAAATCGCGAAAAGCCGAGATTGTGGGTTATGCTCTGTTGGACAACGGTTCTGATGTGACACTGATAAGATCAAACTGTTTGAGGTCTCTCGGGCTGAGCGAAGACGAAGCATCAGTGGTAGTTGAGACTGTAGGCGGTAATAGAACAATGAAGGTCACGAGTGCGCCTTTTGAGGTATATTCTTTAGATCAATCTGAACATGTTACTATTGAAGGAGCTCTGGTTGTAGCGAGTATACCAGGTCATAAGCCAACAAAATCAGCAATGAACAACCTAGTTAAGTGGCCGCATTTAAGTGATGTGCCAATAGATAGCCTAGACTCTGAAGAAGTTTTACTGTTGATTGGTTGCGACGTACCAGAAGCACATTGGGTGTTAGACCAACGGTTGGGTGGAAGGAAGAACCCGTACGCTGTGAAAACGTTGCTGGGGTGGACGGTTTTCGGACCCGCGTCATATTCGGAACATAGGAAAAGAGTTGTTAATCATACCAGTAAATTACAGACTTTGGAGAACGAAATACGTAAACTTTACGATGTAGAGTTTTCTGATGATAATTCAAAGGATAAATCAGTATCAATAGAAAATAAGGCGGCTATAAGGATTGTGGAAGGAGGCACACGCTTCGAAAATGGTCATTTTGCAGTTCCTGTACCATGGAAAGTGAACTCAAATATGAAAGGGAGGAATTATGAAGTGGCAAACAATAGACTACAGAGCGTGAAGCGTAGATTGTCGAAAGATGACCTTCTGTATATCAAGTATACCACAGGTATTGAAAGTAATTTTATTCAGGGCTATGCGGAGATCCTTGAAATACAATTGCGACCTAGTTATCACCCCCGGTGGTACTTACCTCACCATGCAGTTTTAAATCCGAAAAAGCCAGCAAACTTTGCCTTGAATAAGACGGCCCAAATATTCTCTGATGGTTATGTTGTAGATGATGTCAAGAATAATTTCTATGTTGATGATTGCTTGATATCCATTCCCACTTGTAATCAAGCAAAGAGTTTCGTTAAACATATAAGTGAATTATTATGTAGAGGAAGCATACAGAAAGTGACTTATCTTGAATATTGGTTCGAATGCCCTACTTTATTGCATGGCGAATTTTATATAACAATCACTGACTGTCCGGAACATACTCCTGACGCTATTGAGCTTAGAAAAACTGCTGTGGGTAACTTGAGTAGTATAAAGTACAACATGTTACCTATTCTCTCTTATTATTCCGAGTGGTTGAAATTAATCAGAGCTGTAACCTGGTTTAGAAGGTTCATCGAATTCCTGATGGTACATCGTGCACCAAGTTGTAAAGGATCCGTTCATCTAGGATGTTTAAAGGTTGACATCGCCAAGTGTAAGAATTTATTGATGGTTCAAAGGGAAGTGTATGGAAAATTATTTAGTGGATTTAGAAACAGCAGTAAAGTAGTAAGATATGATCTGAAAGGCTTATCACCGATAATGCTTGATGGGTTACTCTGTGTTACAGGTCGGCTAAGCTACTCCGAATCCTTAAATGCCTTTAAACATCCAGTAATTTTACGCAGTCGACACTTAGTGACGGAAATGATAATTAGACATTATCATAAGGAACCAGGACACATAGGAAGGTCATTAGAAAAAGGATATAGATATGTGTTTACTTGTTTGCAAACGTGGGCAGTACATATTGAACTGATGTGTAGTTTGATTGCTGATTCATTACGTTTTATTGGAAGAAGAAGGAAACCTCCGGAGATTTACAGTGACAGTGCGTCAAGCTTCGTGGGGACAGTTTCCGAGTTAAGAAGGGTTGTGCAGCAGTCGAATCAGCAGAAGATAAATATTGAATTGTCAGCGAGACCCTCATCCAACAGCATGGCTGGAGTTTGGGGAAGAGTGATTAGGTCTATACCACGACTGTTATTGTTGATCACCAGAGAACAGATGAAGCAGGTCTCCCTGAAGCTTCGGGTTAGTCTTTTTTGTTATTAATGTAGTTAGGTCGAGTAGGCGTACTGCTGTAAGTCCTACTCGTTCCTATAGTGTAATATGCTACATAATGAACCATGACCATAGGCATCAAGGTAGCTTGTGTGGTATGGAGGGATTTTGGGGGCCGGTGTAAGATCCATTTTGAATGTTTTGTGTGTTTGTGAAAATCCCTCCATGTATATACTTGTACTTTGTTCCTATTGATTCCCTTAGTTGTACATTGTTGTATTTTGATTACATTTGAGTTGTTAATACTTGTATTTTTTATTATAGTTTTTGTTTTCTTACGCATTCACTAAGTTTGTGTTTCTTCCTGAACTGCATCTGTGTTGTTTTACTTGACACTTGTTCTTGGCGGTAGCCATATTGATTTGTTCCTCCTGTTGTGTGTGATCTATCCAGCCAGGATAGAATAACGTTGATTTGTTGTGATTGGTAAATTTCTTGCATCCTTTATCAACTTTCTTATTTATTGTAATTAGATTTGATCAATTGAACAATTATTGGTTGGATAGCTGAGTGGTTATATTTGTTTAGGTAATAATGTACACTTAAATTTATGATAAATTATAGAACCGCTATCTTACCCAATTCCTTTGTTTTGGTTTCAATCGGGCGAGGGCGCGTATCTAACTCATCCAGACAGCTGTCCAGCAGTCCAAACGTAGTTTGGATCTTACACGTCTTATCAACTGGCTCAAACTATTAGGTATTAAGTCACAATTAATAGACTCATTTACTTCATATTTAAATAGTTGACATTCTAAAGTCTAGGTAAACTTTGCTTTTTCTCAGGCTACGAAGTGTCTTAATGAAGTTTTCGTGTCGATGGGTACAATTCGTTCTATTTATCGAAGAAATAAGACTGGTAGTTGATAGGTATTTATTTAGATCGTGGAACAGACTAGTTTGAGCGCTAGGTTGTCTTTTTCAAACACACAAAGTTTTCACCAATGAACATAAAAAATGGGGAATATCATGCATATACAGAATAAGAAAGTGAATAAATACTTGAGTTATAATGTTTTGACGTTCAGATGTTTACGGTCAACTCTTAACTAGTCAACCTAAGTTGTTTCAGTGTCCTCCGGGGCTCTTCAATGGAACCTATTCTCACCCGTTAAACATAGGAGTCAAGTTTGCAATCAAGATGACAAGCTGGTACTTCAAGAGGATCTGAATGGACTTCGGAGTTTGTGAGATAGCGAACTGGTTTTCGCTGCTTCAGAGTGTGAATTAATCTATGTGAGACATTGTGGTGTTTGAATGAACCAATGATACCTTTGTACTGGTTGAATGCTTGATTTCGAATTCTAAATACAATACATTCGTTTGTGCCTGTGTCTTCTTAATTCAATTGCGTTAATCCTGGAATTCCTAATTCATACGACAATTAGTATACCATATTGGCGTCGCGATGGAGCCTGCAATGGAAAAGTTGGATATTCATTCAACTCCTGAAGCTTTTGAGGATTATTTGGAAAGGTTCGAAATTTGGAGCATGACCAAGAAAGATGTTAAAGGTGATAAAATTGTGGCACATTTTCTGACATTCATTGGGAGAGAAGCGTACAGCTTATTAAAAACTTTGGCATATCCAGAAAAACCTATCTCACTCCCTTATGCAACTCTTAAAGAGCTATTGTTAAGTCATGTAAAATGCACCAGTTTTGAATGCCGTGAAAGGGCGAAGTTTCATAAGATGGTTCGTCAAAATGACCAAAAGGCTCGGGAATTCATCCTTGAATTACAGAAACAAGCTGCCAAGTGTAATTTCGGTGATCAACTTCATGTGCAACTGAGAGATCGATTAATTGCAGGAATTAACATACCGAGTTTGGAAAGAGAGCTGTTAAGAATGCCAAACTGTTCCTTTCAAGATGCTAGAACTGCATGTATTAACTACGAAGCAGTCAATGAACTTGATATCCAGTCGATGAAGATTTCTAATACTTTGCTTAGTCGTCGTGATGAACTACAATCTCAGGGTCAATCAAACTTGCGTTCATTTAACAGTGATTCCTATTCTCGTGTAAATATGAAAGGTGTTTCAACGAGGAATTACAAAGCAAATCACAAAGGTGAGATGAAGTTTGGTAAATGTTTATCATGTGGAAAGTTTCATGCTCGCAATTCATGTGTATTTCGTAATGCTAAATGTTTTAAATGTGGTAAGGTAGGACACATTCAGTCAGTATGCAAAGCTACTGTCCATTTTGCTTCAAGCTGTACTAAATCTTGTAATTTAAATTTCAATAATTCGGATGTTTCTAGTGATCATTTATCTTTGTCTACTATTTCGAAAGGTAATGCTCATATTCAGAAGCGACTATATACATCGCTTGGTTCATTTCATGACTTTATTCTGGACACAGGCAGTATAGAGTCCATTATTTCATTCAAGAACTTGAAAGCTTTAGATCCTAACGTTGTTGTACGACCCACTGAAGTATCAATACTGGGGATTACTGGACACAGACTGCCCATACGAGGATGTTGTGAATTGCTAATCAGAGATGATAATTCTTCATACATACCTTGTGAATTTTTAGTTAGCGAAACAGGACTGTCAATATTGGGTTTAAAGAATTTGAAAAGGCTTAAGGTGGAGTTGTCCTTCTTAGTTTCTAAAGAAAATTCTGATACTTTACTTAAAGATTTGATAGCTATGTGTGCTAAGTGCAGTGGAGGTATGAAAATTAAGCCTATAAAACTTCAAGTACAGGGTGATCCCGTCTTTCTTAAAAGACGAATAATTCCTTATGGTCTTCGAGAAGCAGTACATAAGACATTAAACGATTTGTGTGTGAAAGGCATAATTGAACCAATTCAGTCTTCAGCATGGGGTACTCCTATCGTTACGCCACTGAAGTCGGACGGCAAGACCCCTAGAATTTGTGGTGACTATAGATTAACTCTGAATTCCCGTTTGTTGAAGCAAACGTGCACGACGGTAGAAGCTGAAGATATTCTAAATCGACTTCATGGTTCTAAAGTGTTCTCGAAAGTTGACCTAAAAGATGCTTATCTTCAAATTCCTTTAGATGAATCTTCATCTATTTTGACGACAATTAACACTCCTTTTGGTCTGTTCAAATACAATTTCCTTCCATTTGGTCTAAGTTGTTCTCCAGCCATATTTCAGGAAGTTATGAATAAAGTAGTTAGTGATCTTGAAGGTGTTGAAGTTTATCAAGATGATCTCATTGTTCATGGCTCTAATAAGGTAGTTCATGACCAGAGACTTATTGCTTTATTGCGTCGTTTAATTGAGAAGAATATAACAGTGAATCCAAATAAGTGTTCATTTTGTGTATCTAGTTTTGAATGCCTTGGATACCTAGTTGATGGTAATGGTTTTAGACCAGATATGAAACGACTAGCTCCACTGACTAATGCACCGTCTCCGAAAAATCTTACAGAATTACGTTCACTAGTGGGTGCTCTTCAATACTATTCCCGTTTTATTCCTAATTTTTCTTGTCGTGCAAATTGTTTATTTAATATTTTAACATCCAATTCATTCAAATGGAGTGAGGAACAAGAGTCATGCTTACGAAGTCTGCTGAAGTTTCTTCAAAGTGATGCTGTTCTTCGAACGTACTCCCCTAATGTACATTCTGTGCTTATTACTGATGCATCACCTGTGGGAATTGGTGCAGTTTTGGAACAGGAAGGTAGACCAGTTATTTGTGTTTCACGCAAACTTACTGTTACTGAACAAGGTTATTCACAGACTCAGCGAGAAGCATTAGCTGTGTTTTGGGCTGTTAAAAGACTTCATAAATATTTATTCGGAAAGAAATTCACTATTGTTACTGATCATGAAGCTTTAAAGTTTATTTATCATCCCGAAAAATCCTTAGCACGTTCCTCAGCAGCTATGGTTCAGCGATGGAGTATTGCTTTGAGTGCATATGACTATACGGTTCAGCACAGAAGTGCCAAACAGATTCAACATGTTGATTACATTTCTCGACAGTCATTACAAGATAAACCTATTAATACTTCGGATTGTTTGTTAGTGCAACCTTTACCAGTGAGACGTTCAGATCTCATTAGAGAAACTCGTAGATATTTTGGATGTATACTCAGTGCTATAAGGAAAGGTTGGAATGCTAATTTGAAACGGAGATTTCCTATCTATTTTTCAAAGCGGGATGAGTTATCTACTACTCCTGATGGTATTCTGTGTTTAAATGATCGTGTTGTCATTCCTCCTTCATTGCGTAAATCTGTTCTTGAAGATCTTCATAGTGGTCATTTAGGTGTTGAGAAAATGAAGTCCTTGGCAAGGCTCACATGCTGGTGGCCAGAGATAAATGCAGATATATGTCGTACGGCAAACAATTGTGAGAAATGTCATCAGTTGAAAAATCATCCTTCGAAGTGGGTGCCATGGCCAGTATCGTCTGAGGCCTGGCAGAGGATTCATGCTGACTATTGTGGACCATTTCTTGGTAAATACTACGCACTAGTAGTCATTGATTCTTTTTCAAAGTGGCCTGAAGTTTTTTTCACAACTTCACCAAATTCTGATTTCACAATACAAGCATTAAGAAAGGTGTTTAGTCGAGAAGGTGTTCCCTTGGTGTTGGTGACTGATAATGGCTCACATTTTGCTGCAGATGCAGTCACTACCTGGTTGAACGGTATAGGGTGCAAACATCTATTTACTGCTCCCAGACATCCGTGTTCTAATGGTCAGGCAGAGAATTTTGTTAGGACATTAAAGACTGCTATTGATTCTATAGCCCCCTCAACATTTAATGAGCTGGAGAGGGGAGTAGATACCTTTCTATTGCAATATAGAAATGCCAAACATTCGGTGACGAAGGAGACTCCAGCGAAGCTATTGAAAGGAAGAATTCTTCGGTCGAATATGAGATGTCTGGAGTCTGCAGAAGTTACATACTATCGAGGAAATGATCTTCGACCATCTACGGGTATTGTTCTGAAGAATGTCGGAAAATCGATGGTGCGAATTCTAGACATCGATGACTTAAGTACACACAGTCGACATGTAGATCAAATACAATTTCAGGAACCAGGTGAGTCAGTTCCAATTTCGATTGTTAATTCTAATGCTAATGAGCATATTCTAGATAATACAGAATCCTTATCCAATACAATGTCAGACAGACTCAGGATGAATTTGAGAAGAAGACGTACGATTGATTACAAACACCTAGACTCCAATTTAAGCTGTGGCGGATGTGGTGTTTGAATGAACCAATGATACCTTTGTACTGGTTGAATGCTTGATTTCGAATTCTAAATACAATACATTCGTTTGTGCCTGTGTCTTCTTAATTCAATTGCGCTAATCCTGGAATTCCTAATTCATACGACAATTAGTATACCATAAACATACAGCAGAATACGCGTACAACTTATTTAACCCTCCTTTAGAGGTGTCACGAGTTGAAAAAGACATAGGCGTGCTGGTAGCTTGTGGTCTAGTCTTACTCTGAAAAAAATCTTTAGAGCAGACCTTGCACAAGTAATGCTGGAACACATTTGTGGCCAGTTTGGCAGTAAAACTTTCCACTTAATCTTCGACAGTTTTTATACCGCCCTATTTACGGT